CCCCAGTGCGAGCTCTGTCCCCTTCCCGGTACTGCCCAGTACAAGAAGATGTGTCCTCATGGGCCAGGGTACTCCACTGACGGGAGAGGTGAGCTGGGACCCAAATCACCTTCAACACAGAGGGGAGAAAGCAGAGCCGTGGGTACAGGCAGAATTCCCCTGGGAGCTGGCTGGGGTGGACCTACGCGGTGCCTGGAGGAGACAAGAAGCCTCTGCGACGTTATTTTACAACTCCCTAAATGTCTCTGGCATCCCAGGGAGAGTCTGAGCTGCCCTGGCACAGTGCTGGCAGAGGAGCGCGGGGACAGAAGCGGCGTTGGCACTTAACAGGTCCTTCTCTCCCTCCCGCAGACATCGACGAGTGCAAGGTGCTGCCCAACCTCTGCAAGAACGGACAGTGCATCAACAGCATCGGCTCCTTCCGCTGCCACTGCAGGCTGGGCTACACCGCGGATATCACGGGCACAGCCTGCGTGGGTGAGTCGGGAGAAGGAAACCCTCGGCAGGCTTCCATCCCTACTTTTCAGCGTGCAAAGAGAAGATCCCGTAACCCCCACCCGGGATCTGTCCTCACCTCTGTCCATACTGTCCTGCATATCTGTAGGAGGGCTCTGGACGCTTTGCCCTACTGCGTGGTCCCCTGTACATCAAAGCTTCACTCTGTGTTGTTTAACTCCTTCAAACCCAGGCTCCTTGTCTCCTCCCTCTGGCCCCGGGGCTCACAGGGGCTGGCAGGGAGTGTGAGCCAGAGATGAAGGTCTGTGAGCGGCCAGTCCTTTCGCTGGCACAGCAGCTGGTTCTAGCCAGCCGGAGTGCCGCGTTGGCAATCCAGATGTCGACATAAAAGGCACCCCTGGAATCACAGCTGCAGGCATCTGGGGAAATACTGAAGGAGTTGAGCCTGTGCTGTACTTCCAGTATTGAGATGGTGTTCAGGACCATGCCAGCTGTGTGTCCTGAAGGCCTCGGCTCCCAGAAACCGAGCTCTGTGCCTCGGAGTAGAGCAGAGATGACCTTGAGCACCAGGACAGGATTCCTCTTTAAACAACCTTGCTCTTTCTCCAGCTCAGTGCCCTCCAGCCGGGCTCAAAGTTCTGGGCTTTGTCAGAGCCATGGCTGCTCCTCCCTGCTGGGCAGAGGTGACAAAGCTTCAGACGTACAGGGCTGGCCCCATCCCTGAAGTCCCCAGTACTCAGGAGGAGCATCTACCCATCTCTTCAGCCAGGAAGCGGCTGGACGAGGTGTCACTCTGATCCACCAGGTCTCACAGCATCCCACGTCTGAGCAGGGAGGCGATTCAGCTCTTCTCCTGCAGGAGATCTCCTACATTTGTTGTGTTGGCTCAAACCAAGGTGGTCCCTCAGAGTCCTGTCTCTGCTCACCTGCTTCCCAGAGAGCGGAAAAGATGAATTTATGTGGGGCAGGGAGTGCCAGGATCCATAGGGCTGTCTTACCACTTAGTTATGTGGGACCACTTAGTTATGTGGGACCGTGACACCTGGGATCACCTTGTGTTCGGGAGGCCTTTGGTGGACTGAATGGTCGAAGGGGTGGTGGGGACACGGTCCAGCGGCACAGCCTGTGAATGCTGATGTGTCTTGTCTCTTGAGTCTAGATTTGGATGAGTGTAACCAGTCCCCTAAGCCATGTAACTTCATCTGCAAGAACACAGAAGGCAGCTACCAATGCTCCTGCCCCCGAGGGTACATTCTGCAAGAAGATGGGAAGATCTGCAAAGGTATTCCCCCAAGAGAAGGCAGCAGAGACCCTGTGTCATCTCTGGCGGGGCAGGGGGAGATGGAAAGAGCTGAAAAACCTGTGCCAGAACGGTCAAGTCTTTCTGTTCAGCCACAGGACACAGCTAGACATGGAAAAAGGTGCTATGCTGGACCCTCGTGGACTGGTGCATCAGGGTTTCATCCCTCTACAGACACTCTAGATCTGTCTTATCAGGGAAAAAAGCCCATTCCTTGGCCTTTCCTACAGAGTGCACAGCATATCCCAAGCTGTACTGAGCTCCAGGAACCTTGAACCTGTGGGTCTCCTACAGGTGGGCTGGGCATTGTCAGGGCTCCTCCTGGTGCTGGCAGCTGCTGTGCTGGGGCTTCACCCACCTCTCACGGTGCTGATGTGTCAGGCTGCGAGGAATCACAGAATGGCAGACTGGTGGGGGTTGGCAGGAACCTCTGGAGCTCCCCCATCCCACCCCCACCAGAGCAGGGGCACCTCCAGCAGTGGCACAGGACAGCGTCCAGGCGGGTTTGGGATGGCTCCAGAGGGGGAGACTCCCCCACCTCTCTGGGCAGCCTGTGCCACTGCTCTGCCGCCCTCACAGCAGAGAAGGCCCTCCTCAGGTGGAGATGGAACTGCCGATGGTCACGTTTGTGCCCGTTCCCTCTTGTCCTGTCACTGGGCGCCACTGGAAACAGACTGTTCCCATCCCCCCGGCACCCTCCCTTGAAGGATTTATCAGCAGCGATAAGATCCCCCCTCAGTCTTCTCTTCTCCAGACTAAAGCCCCACATCCCTCAGCCTTTCCTCACCAGAAAGATGCTCCAGTCCCCTCAGCATCTTTGTAGCCCTTTGCTGGATCCTCTCCAGCAGATTCCCGTCCTTCTTGACCCGGGGAGCCCCAAACTGGACACAGCACTCCAGATGTGGCCTCCCCAGGGCAGAGCAGGGCAGAGGATGACCTCCCTCGCCCTACTGGCCACACTCTGCTTGATGCACCCCAGGATGCCGTTGGCCTTCTTGGCCACTGGGGCACATTGCTGGCTCGTGGGCATCCTGTTGTCCCCCAGGACTCACAGGTCCCTCTCTCAGCGCTGCTCTCCAGCAGGTCACCCCCAACCTGTACTGGTGCGTGGGGTTAGTCCTCCCCCGGTGCAGGACCCTAAAGGCCGAAGGTGGCCTAAGAATCTGGAAGAGTCTGGGATTTGTGGATGACCAGAGAGGCAGAGAAAAATCTCTGTATCTTCCAAACATGTCTGTAGATGATCAGCAGCTGGGAGGGGGAGAGGCTCCCTGGACTTGTGATTCTCACGGAAGAATTTTGTGTGTGTTGTTCCTGAGGCTGATCCATATCAGGTCCTGGTCTGCCCAGGACCACCGTGTATCCCCCTGGACCTGTGGGTGTCACAGACTCAGACCACAAATATAAGATATTTCAGTATGATAAACTGAGACAGATGTTCTTGTGCTTGTTGCTTTAGACTTGGATGAATGTTCCACCAAGCAGCACAACTGCCAGTTCCTCTGTGTGAACATTATCGGAGGATTCAACTGCAAATGCCCTCCGGGCTTCACTCAGCACCACTCGTCCTGCATCGGTGAGTAGAGGCGTTCGCTGCTCTGCTCTACGGCACCAGCGAGGTCCCCGGGGGTCAGCTTTAAGCCCGGCAGAGTCTTTCCAGCCCCCCAGCTCTGGGTCTGGAGCACTGCCCCTCTCCAGTTCCCCTGGGGTGGTGCATCCGACTTGTCCGTCTGCCACTAAGCTCCACGAGGCAAGGTCGCTGTCTGCAAAGCTGCGCACAGCCACAGCCTTGGGGGTGGACTTAGAGGCGGCCGCCGGTGTTTTGCAGACAATAATGAGTGCACAGCTCAGCCCTCTCTGTGTGGAGCCAAAGGACAGTGTCTGAACACGCCGGGCAGTTACAACTGCGAGTGCCAGAAAGGATTCTCCCTGGACAGCTCTGGTGTCAACTGCGAAGGTGGGTCCTTGTCTCTGGGGCTTTGACGGACGCACGTTCCATGTGGAATTGTTCCTAGTTCACTCACAGTCTCTAAGGCAGCTCAGTCCAGCCAAGAAGGGACTACTCCATACTGTGGAGCACCAGAAACCCACACGGGAAGCCCTGGTGCAAAGGAGAGGTCAGTGCCTGACCTGCCTGGAGAAATACTGGCTCTTGGACAAGTAGATGAGTCTTGGTGCTGCAACCGTAGCAGCCAAGGGGAGGAAAGGAATGGTTCTGTATCTCATCAGGGGAGGTCTTGTGCTGGCCCAAACCCACCGTGTACTGTGCTAAAGAAAAGCCTACGTTCAGCGCAGGCAGCCTCAAGCACAGCAGATCTGATAACGGTCCAGGCCAGACCTTAAATCAAAAGAACATCCAAGCAGGGGCTGCAAGGGGATGGCTGTGGGCCTTGGGGCTGTAGGTGTTACTCAGTTCCAAGCTGCGGAGACATAATTAGGCAGGAGAACCGCCCACCCACATGAGCACCCTCAAAGATGCTGGCTGCCAGGCGTGCACCATGTGCACATGGTCCCTGCACACCCCGTGCTGCCCACAAGACGGGGAGAAGTTGTCTCACCACCGTCTGTGTTACGTTGCTGCAGATGTGGACGAGTGTGATGGAAACCATCGGTGCCAGCACGGCTGCCAGAACGTTCTCGGAGGCTACCGCTGCGGCTGTCCGCAGGGCTACGTGCAGCACTACCAGTGGAACCAGTGTGTGGGTGAGTGTGGGATGCGGCGTCTTGTGTCCCGTAGCTGTAGGGGTGGGGGACAGAGGCCAGCTAAGACCCGAGTCCCTCTTCAGCCCCCCCGGCCGTCTCTGACACTGGATTTTGGGTTCATCTCTGCTAACCCAGCACTGATCTTCCTGCCCTTGCCCCAGAGGCAGACCATGCCTGTGCCCGGAGTCGGTGCCCCTGCCCTGCCCCGGGTTCTCTCTGTGATGGGGAACAGCAGGGAGCCGCTCTGCAGAGCTCCCGGTGCTCCTGACGCCAGCAGCTCCCTGCGTTGCGGGAGGATAAAAAAAATAAATAAATCAAGGCAGTCCTTCAGGGACCTGCATGGGATGAGGTCTCGCAGGGGAGCTGGGAGAAGAGAGTCTGCTGCTGGCCGTGGGCAGATTTCCTTGGCCACGTGGGGTGGGGAACGCCGGCGGCGGCACAGGAGCTCCCTGCCACGAAGGTTCTGACGGGTTCTGCCGCCTTTGGGTGCAGATGAAAACGAGTGCTCCAGCCCCACTGCCTGCGGCTCTGCCTCCTGCTACAACACGCTGGGAAGTTTCAAGTGCGTCTGCCCATCCGGCTTCGATTTCGACCAAGCCTTTGGTGGGTGCCAGGACGTGGATGAATGCTCAGCGGGCGGCAGCCCCTGCAGTTACGGCTGCTCCAACACAGACGGAGGGTATCTCTGCGGCTGCCCTGGAGGCTACTTCCGAGCGGGACAAGGGTAAGAGAGCAGCCAGCACGTCCCTGTACGTTCTTGGGGACGTTGCAGGCTGCCGAGTGCATGGTGACCCCAGGCACGCTCCGTCACCACGCTTCTGCTCTCTGCCGCCAATATAATCTGAAAGACCCCCCAGGAGTGGGAAGCTCCCATCCCCACATGAGTCCTCAGCTTCTCCGTGCCAGACTGTTCCTCACCCATCACAAGATCCTCATGCTAATGTGCATCTCCTCTCCCGTTTCACTAATCCGATGGTTAGCGCAGCTGCTGGCACTGTAGCAGATGCTCCGCAGATCCGTCTACTCCAGGGTGCAGACAGATTAATCCTACAGCCATATCTAAACAAGATGTGGCCTGATGTCTCTGGGGCATGTCCTGTGTAGACGCCGTTCTGTACAGGCCGTGTCCTGTACCCACGCGTGATCCTCCACGTGTTTCTGGGTACCACCTGGAGAACCTGTGAGGGCAATGGTAAGATTTCTTTCTCGAAGCATGAATCTGAGATGGGTCTCTCTGCTCTTCTGCCACCAGACACTGTATTTCTGGCTTGGGTTTTGGGAAAGGTTCCTACCTTCCTGCTCCCCAAGAAGAAGATGAAGACAACCTGCTCTCCCCTGAAACCTGCTATGAGTGCAAGATAAATGGCTACCCCAAGAGGGGTCGGCAGCGACGCAGTGTCAATGGCACTGAGAAGCACCAGGTAAGAAATGGGGTCCTGGATGGGGTGGAGCAAGGCAAGAGCTGGGTCGTTTGGGGGATAACTGCCTGGAGTGGATCCCGTGCAGTGTGCCCATTCCTGTGGGGCTGCTTCGGTCCAGAGAGAGCGAGCAGCTCACTCCGCGCCTGCCCGTGCTGGGTGCTTGGGTGTTTGTGGGTGCCACTGACTCCGGAAGTCCCGCAGAAATGGCAGGTCTTTCCCAATACGGTAGAGGAGGTCAGGACGATCATAGGTGACACACACTTGGTGTGGTTTGACCACAAATGGCTGGAGGTACAACCAAGACATAAAGCACACAATTTTCCTTCCTTGCAAGGGGAGCTGACGGGGGCGCAGTCCCCACAGGGCCGTAGAGGACTGTCAGCGCTCACTGTCTGACTCCAGACTGGACCTGTCGCTATAAGTACACGTTATTCCTTGGAGGGAAGTTCTGGCCTCTGTCCAAGGCTCCCCCAAGAAGTTCACAGGCCTGGGCGGGACAGATTGGACTGGGAGATAGATCATTGTGGGCCCTTCAGGCCTTGGGAGGAAAATGCCTCTGAAGTCCTTGGTTCTTCCCCTGAAGATGAGGGCTGGTTCAGTCTCAGAGACACAAACAGGGGTACCAAGAAACACTTGAAGGAAAGCATGGACTGTAGAAGTCGTAGTCACTTCTCAGAGCTTCTTTGGGGTGGCCCATGGGGCAGAACTCCTCTAGATCAAGTCCTCCTTCACCTGGCCACAGCCTTTTCTTGGTCTTTGTAACACGCCTGATTCCTTTTGAAGGATCACACTGTGAACTTGGCCAGCATGGATGTGGACGCTCCTCTGTCCATGATGCTGAACCTCTCTGACCTGGCTCACAAGGAGCACATCCTGGAGCTCCTGCCAGCTGTGGAGCCCCTGGAGAACCGTGTGCGGTACCTAATCTCCCACGGGAATGAGGATGGCTACTTCCGCATCCACCAAAAAGAGGGGCTCAGCTACCTGCACCTCGGCCGCAAGAAAATAGTGCCCGGCACCTACCTGCTGGAAATCGTGAGCGTGCCCCTCTACCGCAAGAGGGAACTGCAGAAACTAGAGGCCAAGAACCACCTCAACTACTTAGCGGGGGAGCTGGGCCAAGCACTGAGGATGAAGCTCCAGCTCCAGCTCTACTAACGTCCACGAGATCCACCCACCCAACCGACAGTACAGTCCTTTTAGCCTTGCCATCCACACCTGGAAACAACTGCCTCTTCTCTCGCTGCGCCCCCCACCCCCACCCCCTGCCACCACCTCCCCCACTGCACTGTCCAACTGATGGGAAATGTCCCGCGGGGCTCAGCGCTCCCCTTGGCCAGGCAGGGGTACTCCGCGTCATGGGGTGCTTGAGTCAAAACCAAGCCACACCGCAAAAGAGCTCGTGAAAGCTTTGCCCAAAGGCTCAAACCTTGTTAGCAGGGACTGCCTCCCTCTGCTCGGCTCTTGCCCGGCTCCTTTAACCAAGATACTGGTGGTCCCAGCTGGCAAGGGCAGTGCCACGGGGAAGTTGCCTGTCCTTCATGGTCGCAGGCCATGTACCACCCCACAGCCCAGGAGACGCGAGGAGGGGCTGGGGGCAGCTCTGAAAGGAGCGGTGGCACGGTGTGGTGTTAGTGCATTTCCCAACAGCTCTCGTTCCCCCTTTGCTTCCGCGTTGTCGCAATGGTGCTGCAGAAACCACCCCATACCTACACTGGCTGTGCTCTGTCTCTCTCTGTCCTCTCCGTGTCCTCTGGTCATTTTGGGCTCCTCTGTCAAACAGAAAAGGTCATCTCTGAGCAAAGGGGGCAGTTCAGGTTGCTAACCTCACATGGCGAAGCAGCCAGGTCCCGGCACCACGGGCTCCTGTAGGCAACCTAGGGTTTTCACACTGAACACTGCATGCCCTCCAAAGATTGGAGCTGGAAGGGCTTTTCCAGAGCTCCAGCAAGTCCAGGGGTTAAGGTGTCCTCCTCTAAACGAGGAGGAGCTCTGGGGAAAGGCAAATAATTGCATTGTTGAACGCGGTTGGACAAACTAAACTGGCAAGAAAAATGTCCCGAGTCTGGTGGTGAGCATCTGGAGGCTTCCCGGGCCAGAGGGGACGGAGGGCTTGGCAGGACGCGTGGGGCGGATTTCCCGGCCACCACCCATGTGTTTGAAAATCCTGTGAAAAATTTCCCCCGGGCAGGAGCAAGATGGGGACGGGGAGGGTGGGGTGGAGGGTATCTCTGCGGCCTGGCAGGAGGAAAGAGGCAGGGAGAGCCAGAGCTTCAGTCTGCCACCAGTCCTTGACTCCGAGGCACCCCATCTGCGTGACTCTGGCGCCCACGGCCAGCTCCCCCCCAGTCAGGAGCACTTCTGAAAATGGGGTGGGGGCTGCAAGTCGCTCCCCTCTGGTTGCCACGTACACCTTGGTCAATCCAAGGGGACAACGGAGGTGGACGGTCTCTGGTTAATGAAATGCACTAGAAAGAGTCTGGAAGATATTAATTAAGTGAATGGAGGTCTCCCTGCTGCCTCGCGTAGCCTGTCCAGACCCTTCTGTCCAGGTGGGCTTTTCTTCCTCCCTCAAGAGTGTTCTTCACACAGCTCTGGTCTCTGCAATGCCATTTCCGAATTTTGCATGAATCTGTTTTCAGTCCTGCATCAGCCCTGCGCATCGCCGCGGGCGAGAAAGGTGCTAATTCACTCTGGTGACACACAAGACTACCTTATCGACAAACCGAAGGTGCTTTCAGCTTCCCGAAGCTGGTGCTGGTATCGAATGGTCAGCGTTAGTGCACTGTATCCATCCACCCTTTCATATTTATGTATAACCACCAAAGTTACGATTGCTCGTTGGTGTGAGGAGTGCATATTCCTGTAGCTTTTTTGGGGGGTAC